TATATGTCTAGAACTAACACTGATTAATAATGGACTGCCTATACCTAAAGACTGTATAATAAACATTGTCCATTTAAGAAATCTGATCTAAATGTAACATTGATAAAAGTACAATTGAAAAAAACTTGAAATTACAGTATTGTTTTAACATAACACTTTGATAATTCAACATTTTGCACTGTCTTTTAGAGTTGACTTGACAGCTTGTCTAGAATAATACTGAAATATTTGCACACTAGTAAAGCATCTGAACCTCTGCCTTTGAATAATAAGTAGCAAAAAAAGTGAGTTTATTTTAAAGGAAATTTTGTATGACTAGGCAATGAAAAAGTCCAGAATAGTCTGTGTTCCTTTTTATTACAGCTACTACAAAATCTGTAAATAAGAAACTATAGTAATTTTGCATGTAGAGATCAATTATAAATTCATTGATTAGATCATTTAAAATATACTGATTCCTACTGATTCAGATAATTATCCTAGGTGATTTCAAATAACATCTGAAGTCATAACCTATGCTGACTAAATCATTACTTTAATCTGTTTTGTCATATTAATATAATTCAAAACCACATAAAAAATGACTTTTCCTCCTCAAACTGACTTTTACTAACTAAAGACAGTTTGCTTCTTCACGTAAGCAGAAATTAACCTAGGGAAATAAATCTGAATCCCATCTAAGTATCACTTAAATTTCAATTTCATTCCAGTAATATATTCAATTTTTCACTGATTTATACTATCAAATACATTAGTTCTATTAAAAAAAATTATTTGTTTCAAAAACAAACATTACAAATTATGTATATATAGCTTTTTAATTTTTTTTTAAATTAGATTTGAGCATTTCCAAATGATGTTTCTGTATTAAAAATCAGAAAATAATATTTAATGGGGTTAAAACCACAAGTAACACATCAGCATTTTTTACATTAGGAATTGTTTGTTTTTCTGGATTAGAATGTAAATTCATCATCAAAATAAAAGGAAAATATTTCAAGCACACCTATATTGCAGTGTGAATCATCAGTTTAATATATTTAACAAAACAATGGTCTTGAGTTTATTAAATAAATATTTTATATTTTATCATATATAAGTCTGCTCTCTTAGATGTCAAATTTCTGATCCTGGCATTTGGTTGTCTTTAAAATATTTACCAAATATAGAATTCCAGACCCTATTTTCAGCCCAAGCTCAGTATCAGACATTGAAATGTGTACAATGTTGTATTACATATTTGCATTTAAAAAAATACTTACCTATGTGGTATGTATTTGATTTGAGACTATAAAATAGAACAACAGTATTTACAAGCTCATTTTCACAACAAACTTTTTACAAACTCCCAAGAAAATAAGAAATTCTTAATTGATTTCCTTCATATAAAATGATTGCTAATATGTTTACACAGTAAAAATGGAAGGGACAAAGTTTCTATATACAGATACAAGGAAACGATTTATCCCCCACCTGTGTAATAAAAGAGGAAAGTAGTTGACAAGAGGTTTTATAGCATCTACCAAGATGTTTCCCTTATGATACAAAAGTACTATTGCATCTCAGACGTCCTGATCACCAAGTCTCAAAGGCAAATATGACACAGGGTATAACCATGATGTATCAGCAAGTGAGACGCTGATAGCCATTCTACTCCATTACCTTTCTTGAGGAGAAGAAGGCAAACCAGGAGGGCTAATCTGTTCCATTTGAGAAGACTAGAAAACTTTCTGAGCAAAAAATCAACTCTACCAAGCATTGGACTGCTAATCACAAGGTCGGCAGTTCAAATCCACCAGCTGCTCCTCAGAAACCCTACACAGGATCACTATGAGTTGGAACCAACTTTATGGCATTTAAGAACAATGTGAGTCAGAACCAACGAGACAGCACTTAAGAACAACGACCAAGACTAATGAATATGGGATAAAATTTTTGTTTGTTTCCTCTCAGTGTTTACCGGCTTTAGATAAGGTTAAAATTATGCCTAATGTGTATAATGAACTTTTGCAGTCGTAGTCATTTGTGAAGTCATTCAGTGGTGTGCTGGAGCTGTCTCAAACCAGTTCACAAGAGTTGTGTTTATTTCTTCTCAATCCCACATTCAGTGATGTCAAGTTGGTAGCATGAAATTGGTCACAGTGGCAGTATTTACCCCATGGAAATTGGCAAATGCTGCAAATCAGTGTTGCTTTTTTTGTTTTGTTTTGTTTTACTCTGCTGTTTTTTTTTTTTTTTTTTATTTTTTTAGTACAAATATATAGTTGGTTGTTAAACATTTACCAGCACAGGG